AAAAAAAAAAAAAAAAAAATGACACTGTCTTGGATTTAAAATCAGCAGAAATTATACTACATTTCTTATTAAAATATTCCATAAGAGATTTCACTTTTCACCAGGAGTGAATGTCTACTTAATATAACTGTTACAGCTTCCTTTTAAATCGAAATGCCAAATGTATTAAGGTGATGGAACCACTGCAGTCCTATCTTAAAATAAGAATATTTTATGTTGAGAGATTTCAGAATTTGTTTATATGGCTGGTAACAAGTAAAATCTATGGCAGCAAATGATTCTACATTTAAAATATGCAATAACAAGTAAGAAAACCAAATTATAGTTCAAATTTAGGTTTTAACTCTTGAAGGAAATTGTATTTTATCCTTGTGCACAGCAGACCTGGTACTCAATAGATTTTGCTATGAGAGGAATGAATTACTGAGCTGTGCTTGGATACTGATCTGTTTTCTTAGATTTCCTATTGCACAGTGTGATTTAGCAGTTCATGCCACGGTGTAAAAAGTAGCAGTAGCCTCATAAAATACCTCTTCAAAACACTTAAATTCATTTCAAAAGTCAGTTTTATCTGAATCTTGATGAGCCAGTTCAGTGTATGCATTTGAATCAACATGCTGCTCCTTTTATTTTCTTTTAGCTGTTTTGCTAAGAGAAATTCTCCTCTGATGACTTTATTTCTTCTGTTTTGTTTTACTGGGTTTAAGGTCAGAGTTTGTCTTTCTTTGGACTCTGCCTGTATTTTCTTGCCTGAACTTCTGCAAGTTTTCAGGAACGCCTCAGCTCAGGACTACTATTTAGTTGCCCTTAAAAAGGATAAAAGAAAAAAAAAACATATATATATATATATACATATAATACTTTAAAAAATATATTCACTTGCTTTAAGTGAAAGGCAGAGAATTTTATTTATAATTAATTTTGACCATCTGTAACCAAGGAGCCTACCAAGAGGCTCATACCTCAGAAAGAACTATAGGGGGTTCATGACAGGAACAGAGTTATATTCTTATTCTAATCACTACCCTTTCTTATTTAAAAACAAAGCCAAAGACTTTCTGAGTAGTTCTCAGCAGTAGTAATAATGATGATGACAATAATACTTCTTTTCCATCTCCTTGTCAGCTGACACGTAATGGTACTGTATATTACTGAATTTAATTTATTGAAGATTATTATTTATGTTTTGTTAGAACATTGTTGTTATAAACTATGTTTAAGTCTGCAATTGTTGATGTTTTTCTTATGTCAGAATCAATATATCTTCTTTGGGTTTACCTCTCTGTGTTAGGATGTAAAGCAATCAAAAGAAATGAGTGTATTAAGATTTGTGAATGAATTTTTTAAAAACTCAACTCTGGTATATTGAGATATTTAAGGTTAGAATTTTGATATTTAAGATTTCCCTGTATCCCAACCCACAGAGCATCTTGTCTCATCAGCCTGAACACGCCATCGCCTGGCCTTTCATATGTTGTTAAAGGACCACTGGATGCTTCATTAATTTATTTAGTCATAATTTATTGAGAAAATATTCTGTACAAAGCACTGTGGGTTTTTAATAGTTTTAATCAAACACTGATTCCAGATAACGTTAGCATCTGTGTAAATAACTGAAAAAAAAAAAACATATATCTTTTAGGAAGAGGAAGAAAATGAAGCAAAGTTCATTAAGGAGAAATAACTCAGGAGAATTTTTCTTAAGATCATATGTTTATAAGATTTAAAGTTGAGAAAGCGTCAATATTAAAAGGGCTTTTATAAAAAACTATTAATGTCACTGACTTTTTTTTTTTTGAAAAAAGAATACTTGATTTGTTATTAACATCAACCTGCTGACTGAACCTGGGAATATGAGTTCAGTTGACAAATGTGTAGTTAAATTATGTAAACTATAAGCCTCAAAACAAATGTCTGTTTATTTTTGTACTATTTAAAAGTCAACAAAACTTTCCTGAAAATAAATTTTGACTATTTCTAAATATCCTTGTCAAATGTCATATGATTTCTCCGAAGCAATATCCTTAAAGTAAATCGTTCTCATGTGTTCTCTGTATTCAAAACTAGGCTGTCCCTTGATGAAATGGTTTGCCCTCAGCCATATAGAGGCGTCCTAGAGTCCCTATACTGAATCTCTTATTCACTGCAACATGGATTTGGAAAATGTGTGCTTTGTGCTAGAGGAGCTAGCAACAACCTTATTTTCATTGTCTAGAAAAATAAGAAAAAAATACACAAAAAGCAAAAAATAAGACAGTAGCAAAAGTGCTACTAAGGCACTACAAAATAAAAAGCAAAGTTCAAAGAGGAGGAAACTAGTATGCTAAGTTGGCCAAGTTGGTACCTGGCTCATGGACTTACGTTGTTCTCCTGCTCTTGACATCTGGAAATGTCCATTTCTCCATGAGCCACAGATTTAATGTCTTGCCTGAATGCTCTTCTTTGGCCTTCTCCATTCCAGTGATGCCACCTTCCACCATATTTCCCATAAATATATAAACCTTGATCTCATCATTGATTACTATACCACTTCCAAACTCTTGATTTCAAACATCTTCCATCTCACCTATGTTAGTGTTCATACTCTGACTCTCATTTTCATCGAGCCCACTACTAATCCATCAACCTCATCGCTTCACTATTTACCACTCTTTTTATCTTTTCATTTTCTTTATGCATTTTTGATAGCTCAGATTCCATTGCCTAATATTAAAATCACTCTTTCACACCCTGATGACTCTCCCGTATTCTAATTGCCACGTTATTAAACTCATCCATTCTCCTCATCTGTTTTTTATTTGACTTCTCAGTAACATTCAACACAAATTTCTATAACCTCTTTAGTAAAAATAAAAAAAAAAAATTCTGGCTTCATAATTTGACACCCTCGAGGTCTTTTTCCACTTTCACCAACAGCTACAACTCAGTCCTGTTTTCTTGTTTAAACTTTCTCCTCTACTGTATCTACAAGTTAAAGAGTCTCGATCCCTTCCTTCTTTGCACTATTCCAGGTTAGCATACCCATCCTCATCATTTGAAATAACAGTGACTCCCAAATTCATGTCTAGAAGACCAATGTCTAATTGTCAATTGACAATCTCTCCACTCAAAGTCATCAATGAGTTATTTTATATCTCTTCCCTTCCAGCAACATATGCCCCAAGTAGTAATTGTCCAAAGTACAAGATGCTACCTTCCCTTGGTCTTAAGCAAAAAACTCTTTGCTTCACTCCCATAGTACTGCTGTTAGATTGGTTAGGGGAGTGAAGCAAACAAATCCTGCATCTGTCACCTTTTCTCCAATTTCACTGCTATCAACTTCGTCAATGTGATAGTCTCATAACTGGTGTTATTTTTTATTTTTGGCTCTGTTGAAACCATTCTCTTTATGGAAATGAGAGTAATTATTTTGAACCATAAGTCAGATCATGCCACTCTTGTATTTAAAATCATCCTCTAGGGCAATGCCTGTGGCTCAGTGAGTAGGGCGCCAGCCCCATATACCAAGGGTGGCAGATTCGAACCCAGCCATGGTCAAATTACAACAAAAAAATAGCCAGGTGTTGTGGCGGGTGCCTGTAGTCCTAGCTACTCAGGAGGCTGAGGCAAGAGATCACCTAAGCTCAAGAGCTGGAGGTTGCTGTGAGGTGTGACATCACGGCACTCTACCGAGGGCAACAAAGTGAGATTATCTCTAAAAAAGTAAAACTAATAAAAAAAATCATCCTATGGCTTCTGACTGCATGATGGATAAATATAAACTCCATATCCTCCTCTATGAAGATCTCAATGATCTAGCCCTTGCCTCTCTATCTAAGTTCTTGGGCTACAATTTCCTACTCTTTTAGCAACATTGGCTTTCTGATAATTTGCTCACTAGCAGTGATTCTCATGCTATTTCCCCTACTCAGATTATTACTTCTGCAGATTTTCACATGACTAGATCCTTCTGCACATTTAAGTCCCTTTTCAAATTTCCACTCTTCAGAAAGGCCTTCTCCAACCGCCCTAATTAATGCAACTACTAACCCCTTTCATTTTCTTTATACTATTTATTTCTATCTAATATTATCTTCTTTTGTGCGTTTACTCTCTGTGTCTCCCCTCTGGAATTTTGTATCTATGAAAATAAAGACCTTGCCTTTATTATTCACTGTTCCTGAACAGTGCCTGATATTTCAAAGGCAT